TCGTCGCTCTGTTAGTACGTCATATGCTTCGTTGATCTGATTGGTTTATTTGGCCCGTCTATCACCAACATAAGCCAATCAGCTAACCAGTATTTTCGCCCCTTCCCAAAATTACTTCAATGGAAGGTTTCCAGATGGATATGCGGAGCTAATCCATCTGGCGGAGTCAGGTTAACCAGGCTCATAGATAACATCAAAACAGAATCCTACAAACAAACGGCTCTGTCTTTAATATGAGCTTTACTGCGCAACTCATTTGCTTTATTCTTCTCTTGATTTTCTTGGAGGACTTTTCCTGACTATTAGGGAACAAGTAAAATTTTCTCCTTCATGCCTTCGCTCTGATCTGCATCTCACAGATTTCTACCTCAAAAAGCCTCATAATTGCTTCCAAATGTCAGGACATGTTTGCATCAGTTTATTTGAAGCATTTAACTCCTGAGCTTGAAGGATCTTCTGACCTGATGGGATGGACGGCGAGTCTGAGCGGACCTGTCATCCTTCTGAGCTTCTGGTCCAAGTTCTGTGATACACTCTGACTGTGAATCTCTGCTAGTCAGTGCATAACAGAACTTTGTCCCGGGCCTGAAAACGCTTCAGTAAAGCAGCTGATTTGTGTTTGAGGAGGATTTGACTTTTTTTTTTATGAAAGTGTCTCTTTTCCACACCTGGAAAAGCAAACGTAGAGAACCCATCCGGAATCAAACAGCACTTGGTTCCTAGATGGACCCGCCTCCATCAGGGGAAAGAAGAGCCCCTTTAACAGACGTCAGAAACCTTAAAATGGATGAATAAAAAACAAAGTTCTGGGTTCCGAACAAAGTAGAACCTCATTAAAACCTCACTGGCTTTTCAGACTAACCATAAAGGTGACGATACATTCATTTTAAAGAGTTTAATACATCAATTAAGATTTTTTATTATGATTTAACGCGACATTCAGAGGAAAAGTCCGGTCAGCAAGAAATAATCAGTGAATCATTATTTATACCTAAAACTAATGCATTCGCAGTGATTTAATGAATTTAGTGTTAATCAGTGTAACTCCAAAGTTACAACACTGGCACAGCTTCCTTTAGACGGGCTCTTTATGAAACGCAGTGAAAACTACAGAAATAGGAGACAAAGTTTTAGATATCGATACATTAACAGAAAATCAGCCGACACACACTGGCTTTAACAGAAATTACCTCGTGACCGCCTGCCACTTCAGAGGCCTTTAACAGTTAAATTCTTCCTCCTATACTCTAAATTAAAATATGAAGCAATTAAAACACCATAACCAATAACATTGCAAGATATTACAAACATAATTACAAATACCGTAACAGCTACAGTAAACACAAGGCTGCTCCACATAGCTCTGATCCAAGCTTTCACATATACGCAAATCTCGCGATAACTTTCAACAAAAAAAATTATGCAATCATTTTACACATTCCCAAAACGTGAACCAAACAACATAAAATGCATTGTCTTAACTATTAGAAAT